TAAATGTTTACCCAGCAGGAACCACACGGAGAGCAGGATTTCAGGCATGAGTATCTGCCAAAAGGCAGCTTGCAACCATACCTCATTTTCTGCTTTGGTTGTTAATAACTCCTCATGCATTACTAATCACATATATGCATACTCGAGGGGTTTGGTTGTTTGTTTTTTTTTTTTAATGAGATGATAACAGTACCTTTGGAAAAAAACTATGCAGTTGGAAATCCACATGCTGGAAGAAACACCCACTAAAGAGGGTATTAAACACATCTGTGCTGTTGGTGGTCACAAGTGAGATGAAATAACCTCCCCCAGTTTTTGTTTCAAATATCAGAGAAGATGCCCAACAAGCCAAATGCCTTTATTAACCAGTGTAAATGGGGACACAGCCCTGCATTACAGCCACCCCCACCATGACACATCTTTGGCAGCAAAATTATTCTCATGCATAAACACAAATATAGATAGTGTAAATATACTTTGTATATTTGTTTCATAGATTGAGATTTCCAAAGACAGAAACAAAGTCTTGAAATCACAGCTGTCATGGACACTTCGACTCTTAACAGGAGATGTTTCCTCACAATTTAAACCAGGCACAAAACTGGAGTTAGGAAAACTCTTTTTTTTTTTTCCCCTCCAAGATGTTACTGCAGAAAATGCCACCAACTGAACACAAGCCAGAGGTAGATAGCAGCTTTTGGATGTGATTAGAAGGACCATGTGTATTTAAACCACAGCTTTTCCTACAGAGTTCTCTACACTTCCATCTCCCAACCTCTCCAGGGCAAGGAACACAACTCCACGAAGAAGTTAAAAGAACTTACTAGAGTGTGTATTCCAAGCATACAAATTCATTTAGTGGGAAGGACGTGCCAAAGAAAATCTGATGTAATGTGTTACAGATGTGGGAGGAAACCACTCTGCCAACCATAACACAGCAATACTCCAGTCTCTGCCGGGCACGAGGCAGAGCCCTGCAGCCCTGAGCTGGTCCCCACTTTTGGGGTGTTCTGTGAGCCTGCTGACACACACAGACCCACAAGAGTGAAAGGACACAGGAGACACTGTTCTAAGGAGGAGTGATTCTGCCTTGGTACTTCATCACACAGTGATTGGGTAATCAGCTCACACTGCTTAATTATTTGTGTTTTCTGCATCGTTTGCAGATGAAAACTCCATTTACTTAAGGATGTTATTTTCCTTTATGTTCAGGACATAGAATTTGTTCAAACTCTAGGAGGGGGAAAAAACAAGTAGTCATTTATGCATCTGTAAGGAAGGAGCCCTTGCAGTCATTATAAAATGAACAGACCAGCAACAGACTTACAAGAAAACCACCACATATTCAGTGATGGCAGAACTGGGCTAAGTAAAGGCTGCCTTGAAGAGGTCACATGCAGAGATCTGCTGAACAGCACAATCCTGTCCAGACCTTGTTCTCTCTGCTCTGCATTCCTTAACTGAGACAAGATAAGCTGCCATGAAAGATAATATTGTCAGGCTTAACATAAAACAGATAAACAGAAAGTTAATGGCTTTGTTATTGAAAACAGCAGAAAAATCTGCTGTACTGTGACAGCTCTGCACTCCCCCCATGCAGGTACTGTCAGAGGTGTCTTATTTCATAACACCCCACAGCACTGGGACACCAACACAAGAAGAGGGGAAGTTGGCTCCGTGCTCTGTTAGTTCCTAAAACAAAAGCAGAGCTAAGATGACAAAGCACAGGCACTGGTTGTATCTTATTATTTCTGTGCACAGAAAACCAGCCTCAGCGTTTTGGTGTCCTACACAGGTAACAGCAAAGTGAAAAAATCCAAATTTAGCAGAGAGCATTGCTTTCCTTGCATTATCTACAAGTGGATAGAATTTCTAATCTAAGCACTGCATTTCAGCTGGAGAGAACCATCATTTTGTCATCAGACTGAAGAAAAAAAGAAATATTTCAAGCTGTACACATGCAAGTCACCGGCAGGGGACAGAAAAGGAGAGAAGAGG